TAAATTTACATTAAAAGAAAAAAGGTACTTTTTTTGTTCTAAAACCATCGTGTAATCGAGAGTTTCACGTAATGAATATTCATATTGCATTGTTATTGTATTATCTTACAAAAGAGTTTTCGTTTTTTCTCTTGTTTTTATGAAATATAGCAATGTTTTTTTTTATGCGTAACATTCTTTTAAATAGCATATGTGTACCATAGCCCTCATGTAAAAAAAAAAGATCGAAAATTTTTGGATTTGAATGCATTTTTTATCCACTCATATGTTTCCGTTAGACAAAACTTATTTATTCAGACGCATTTTTTCCATTGAAAATGCAAATCAAACATTTGAGAACGTGTTCCATACGATATGATTTTTTAATATTAAAACGCTTTTTTTTCTTTATACCAACGTCTTTTTCTATTCATTCATCAATATCAATTACCATGTCATATTTACACCATTCTATTGGACGTTTCTCAGTAAATTCTTCATCAAAAATTCTAAAGACTCCTGGAAAGATATATGGTGGTAAGTACAGCAATAGATAAAGTATAGTCGACATACACAAACGTTTCTTATATTGATTTATATTTAACCTTTTATTAAACCATAATATATTACTTGATTACATGTTATGTGTACTTCGACTTTTGATGTGATGACTATGATATCTTTCATGAAATCTTTAAAACTTTCAGCAAAGAAGTTATGAAGATACATGCAATAGAATGATGTAAATATGACAAAAAATAATTAATATGAATAAACGGATCGAAAAATATTTTTATAAAAATCAGATAATTCTGAAACAGACACTGAGGTACACACTCATGGTACTTTGCTTCCATTCGTCAAATTTTCACTTCGAGGATTTACACGATTTGTTTTTCATTGATTAGTTCGACGAAAAGAAATGAGCAGATGAGTAATCATATGATTACGCATCTGCTCATTTCTTTTCGTCGAACTAATCAATGAAAAGTAAATTATGCACTCGCATCTCGAGATATATGATCTAATATTTCGAACTAAAATCGTACATTGACATAGAATGTATTTTCTATTAATTCTTATTTTCTTCTATTAATCTATCTGAATTTTTCTTTAATGAAACTCAACAGTTTGTTTTTATATATATGTGCATGTATCATTTATAGTACAGAAGCTATTTATCCGATAGATCATTTTGAAGATTCTAAAAGAACGATTGAGATTCGTCGAAAGTAATTTGTTCTATTTACAAGTAAAAAAAAAAAGAAAAGATTTCTGTAAAATATTTATTCAATAAGAATACTATAGATGTCTGTCTTTTGTTTTTTTTTGACTTAATTTCATAATGACATAATAAATTTGTCAATTAGAGATAGGAAATAGAAAAAGAAAAGAGAATTCGGATGAATATTTTCACAATCCATCAACATGATTGTTAAAGAAACAGATGTAAAAAAACAAAAACAAACCGGGAATAATCAAAATGAAAAATGATTGCTCTCGGTATTACACTTAAAGTGTGCTTGGAGAAAAACGAAAACTCATGCATGTTGCAGTGAATTATTCATCGAATGAATAGGTTATATACGAGCTTTTATTGGAAACAAAGAAACTTACATACCTCGACGACCTACACAGGAAGTCAGTAATGAAAAAAAAAAGAAGCTGAGATGTAATTTTACTAAAGTATTGTGACAGCGATAAACACACACACACGCACTACCTTTTTTCTTTTAAAACATAATCTCTTTGAATGAATTGAGAATATAACAGAAAAAATTGTCAGCATAGCCTCCTGCGGAGCGAAAATATAAAATTCAGATGTGTTCTTTAGCCTCATTATACTAATACGACCAACGTTAAGTGAAAAATCTCTATCAGACTATAATTGTTTTTCAAGGATAATCGACCGTCAGTGAAACGATTCGTCTTTTTTATTTTAGTATTTCGAAAAGAAATTTTTTTTGCTGCCGCTCTATTTGTTATTTGCCTTGTTGATATGCGCTCGTTATTTACCTATTTCATATTCCATTTTTCTTAATTTAACATAATTACTTAGGATAATCGAAAAGTAATGGCGAAGGTATTTTAATCCCGTATCAAAAGCTTAAAAAGCTTTTTCTCTATTATGAATTGATAGTAAAAACGACGCCTTATTTTTTCTATACTATTATATCATTCTTCAAATGATATCATAATAATAAAATTTTGATAAGACCTGTTTTTTTTAATCATATGTGATAGTTATACTAATGTCTATTTAGTAGATATTTTTTGAATAACTTTTGATAGAAATAACGGAGAGAACTACGAAAGAAGAAATGAAGATCCATCGAGTCGTTTATTATAGGTTTTTTTACATGACTTTTTTTGAAGTTTTCAATAGACCTCTTTGAAAACAAACCTACCACGTGAGGTATTTACAGTGAATTCTTAATTGTTAGGTGTGTATTCAAACCGGCAATAGATGATCTACAAAACTGCACAAGATTCAAATGTTTAGAATTAATCATCCAGAAGTTATAGGTATTCTAGTCGGAACTCTAAGTGATTTTTCTGGTGATTTCTATAAAAAGTTTTTTTACTGTTTTCTTTTTGATAAGAAAACATTTTTTTACACTTAAAAAATTGATTGAACGAATTTCAGACAACATACTATTCAATGCATCTTCATCTCCTCTTTCGAATGATGAAAACCACGGTTCTCTACCTTGTTTCCATCAAAAGTTATTCAAAAAATATCTACTAAATAGACATTAGTATAACTATCACATATGATTAAAAAAAAACAGGTCTTATCAAAATTTTATTATTATGATATAATTTGAAGAATGATATAATAGTATAGGAAAAATAGAGCGTCGTTTTTACTATCAATTCATATCGAGAAAAAGTTTTTTTAAGGTTTTTATAAGGAGTTAAGGTATCTCTGTTACTACTTTTCGATTGACCTAAGTAACTATTATTCTAATCATTGATTTAACTGGCAAATCAACCTGTTATCCATATCTATTCTATTTAGAGTAGGTTTCAACGCATTATTATATGTCTAAATGAGGTCAGAGATATTGATATAGATTATTTTCACAAAGTTGTTACTAGATCAGTCGACGCTTTTTATTGTTGATCATATTTCGTGAAAGACTTTGGAATATTCTAGAATAGTCTAAGTCTTGTTGCTGATCCCGTTCAGCGCTTTTTGCTGTTGGTAAGAAACTCTCCTAGGAAAGGTGTCTGATGCCGGTTACTATGAAAATATACTTAATGATCGTTGGGCAAACTTTCACTTCCCGGCGCTAGATAAACGTACCTAATGATCGTTGGCCTTTCTTTCTCCTATGGTACTATGAAGGGAGAAGGGGCCAGAGAGAGCCGGAAAACCTGGACTTAAAACTTCTTTCTTTTGTAATATTGAAATCTATTTGTGCTATATTACAGCCATATGTTTATGCCGAGAACAGTCCTATTTAAGTGATATTTTTGAAACAAATATAATAAAATATTTGTTCATATGTTAACAGGTTTCTTTTTCATAAAAAAAAAGTTGTTACTCAAAATAGAAATCCAAATATTCTTTTAACTTATTTTTGTAAAAACCTGCATTATAATTACGGCATTCTAACACATTTAAATACATAACAAATAAATGTGTCATAAATACAAGTAAATATATCTGTAAGCATTGAAATAACAACCGATACATTTAACCACAAAAAACTAGTGTTTTTTTCCTTAATCTTGATATTGAGATGTTGTTTTATACAATTTTCTTTTTCATGATACATCATCTAACATAACGTATCGATTTAGATAAATCGATTCAATAACATACCATCTTCCGATCTAGATTTCTTTTTCAAAAAATTGAAGAAAATTACTTAGATGAATGATCTACAATCATCCAGTCGTAGATCTGTTTGTATGCATCTTATAAACGCAGTTAAATGATAAAAATTTTGATCAGTGATAGTAATAAGAGTATAAATTGAAATCTGTCGAAACTTGTTCATGTCTCATTAAGATTTATTCAAAACTAAAACAGCATATAATAGATGGAGATATTTTTAATGCGGTGCGAAGCACAGCATTTATGTAGTCCTTCGCGTATTTTTTTCTTTTTTTCTTACTTACTTGACGTACGCATCAAAAGTAGTCATTTTGTGTCGCGATGATCTCGAGAACGGAAAAACAGAAAAAAAAAGTTTAAACGCGAGATGAAAGTGTCAAGATCAAATCGTTGAAATTCGTTTTTCAGTTTTCACTAGAATGAATCGTTGAATTACAAATAATTTAGGAAAAAGACGAATTTGAAAGATTTTATATTCGAGATAATTAAAATGCAAAAGAAAAAGAAGAGTTAGGCGCCACTCTCTTTCTTCATATGCGAGACAGCTGTGAATACAGCTGATTATACATAATGAATCACTTAGATAATTAAACTATCAATCAGCAGCCTTCTTTAGAAACATGTTGATACGCTTTTATAGGGTTATCGTAGTGATGAAATTCATTATGGCTGCTTTTCAACTTGTTTTCGATTCAAATCATCTGATTGAGGGAAAAGTAAATTTTCAATTTTGAACGACCCAGAGAAGCGTCTATACTCGCCAGTACGTAAACAACTTTACCAGAAAGAACGATCGCCATTGATCCGACAATCGATTTTTCGTTTTTTTACGAAACATCGTTTTATTTCCAGAACTCGAGATTCGTGCTTCGCACCGCATTTCGTATTCGAGTCGAAACTCGAATACCATCTAGTCTCATTAGTCATTTCAAAGCTTTAATTGAAACATTTGTAAAAAACAAAAAAACAAAATTAAATGAATCATCTAGTTTTTCTTCATAGACGATAATGAAAATTTATTCTCAAAATTCGTAGAAAATGACAAAAAAGAAAGTTTAGAAATCTATAATTTGTTTTCTGGTAATAAATCAATTGAAATATAGTTAATTGATACAATAATTTAATATATTTTTAGTTATCTTTCAATGATTTGGTTGTGAAATATAAAAGAAGAATGTATTTTCGTCCAATTCGTTTATTTAAATTATTCATTATAGTTATTTGCATAATTATTATAACCTATGAAATCTATCGTTTATTATTACGTCCAAGAAAAAAATTATCAATGATAAGAAATACTGATGCTTCATCAATATTATTGTCTAAAGAAGGTTTTGAACAACATTCTTATACTCTTGAATCATTTTATATATCATTACCAAATTTTTCTGATGATGAAGCAAGAAATTGGTTTTATAGTTCATCTTATTATAAAATAAATTCAAAAAAATGTCCACAAGGTTCATGTGAAGAAAAAGGTGTTTATTTTAATGATACAAAAGAACATCTTTCAGTTAATATTTTTCTTATTAAAAATGGTCTTTATGTAAATGATGATTGTGGTTATAATTATGGAAATGATGCTATACAACGTACATTTAAAAATTCAGATGAACCTACTATTATTTATGATAAAGCTATTATTTATACGGTTCCAGATGGTTGGAGTTTTCAACATTTTCTTGATGGTATTGGACCAAAATTATCTCATTCAAAATCTTATTTACAAAAATATCCCGATGCTAAAGTTATTATTATACAAGGTGTTCGATTTGATCGATCTGTTAAAGAAATTTGGTCTATGCTTGGTTTGTATCTTTCCTAAGTTTATGAAATACAAACAAAATAAAGTGTTAAAGTATAGAGAGGAAAACTTGAATTCTTCAAAAAGAAAATGTTCGATGATCATTGAAGATTAATATTCCTTTCTCTAAATAAAGTGGACCGCTAAAGTTTAAAACATCTTTATTTTTGAAGTTTCTCATCGAATATAAGTAGCTAGGTCAAATCCAAATAGTGATTTGAATAGCTCTTGAAATTCTCTATAGAATAGAATATCTCTCAAATTTCCAAAAGATACTTTCTCAAAAGAGCTTTACATAAAACCGTGCCAATGGATTTCAAATTCTAGAGAATTTGACAGAAAGATTCTTCAATATAATCATCTCAAAGAGCAGGAAATTCTCAACAAAATCAAGGGTCGCTCAGCTCTCTACAATATTCCCTCACAAAGTTCTAATCATTAGAAAAAACGAAAAAATGCGGTTTTAATCGAGTTTTAGGGCTTTTTTTGATAAAAATCGATGAAAAACGCGGTTTTTGGTTTTTCTCTAATGCTTAGAACTTTGTGACGGAATATCGTATAAAGCTGGACGACCCTTGATTTTGTTGAGAATTTCCTGCTCTTTGAGATGATTATATTGAAAAGTCTTTCTGTCAAAATCCTCTAGGACTTGAAATCTCCTTGGCACGATTTTCTGTAAAACTCTCTTGAGAAAGTTTCTTTTGAAAATTTGAGAGATATTCTATTCTATAGAGAATTTCAAGAGCTATTCAAATCACTATTTCGGTTTGATCTAGCTATTCATCGAGAATAAAAACTTCAAAAATAAGTGTCTCAAACTTTTGCGATCCACTTTAGATGAAAGATAGTCGTATTCAAGCAACTTTTGATGAGTTTACGTGTGACAAGCCATAGATGTGCACCGTGCCTAAAAACCCGAGGCGAAGGCAACCACCGCTCTAAAGTCTTTTCATTGAGCGACACGAACGTCCGCGCTTAATGATAACCGAAAAAAATTTCTTTCGCCAATTTTTTCCCCATATTTCTGAACACTTATGTAAGAAGAGCAACTTAATGTTGAAACTATCGCGAAATAATATTAACCGCACAAAAAAGTGACGTTCAAAATTGATCGTACACTTCATAGAAAAATCGCTGTATATTACATAATAAAAAAACCATGCCTTTTGTGATTTCGAGCAGAAATAAAAAGTATTTGGTACAGTGTTTCAATGATTTTTTTTTCTAGCTTTTTACAATAACGACATTTTTGTAATATGGTTTTCTTTTCGAAATCGTAAGATGCACAACTTTTATTAAGTAATATACATTGATTTTTGTATGAAGTGTACGATCAATTTTTAGTCAAATAAAGGATATCATTTTTAATCTTTTTTATTTAGCATAACAAGTTTATGAAGGAAAAAGCTGATACTTGTCGGAAATAAACTATGAAGTATAGGCTACATTTTATCGAAAGTCATCTCCTAATATCTTGAACTTCACTTTAAGATATCGGAAAAACTAAGTCATCTATTAAATGTACGATTAGTCTTGAGTACCACTGTATGTATACTTTTAGAGTGTTCGTTTCCCTATTAACTTATTTTCTCGTTAAATATGTGCAAATTTAAGTTTAACGTATTAGTATGAAATGGAGTAATAAAACAAATGGTATCTCAGAACGAAAGAGTCTGTTAACGATTAAATCTCTTCTCTTAAAATTTTAGCGTTTGATGTGCATTCGTTTTGAAAAATTTCTTGCAATAGAATTTACTAGCTGATATAATTAAGGCGCGCCCGTCCAGCACCCACGCCCCAAATTCTCTTCGGTCGCGCGATCGCCCGAAAATGAATCATACTTATCATTGAGGCGTGGCGTGGCCACCTCCGCACCTGCACATCTCTGTGACAAACATATCTAATAGAAGTAAGAAAAGAAATGCAATGTGCCGATAGATCGATCAGCCTGAAATACCGATTTCCTTTCTGCCAGACTTTGACGCATATAACCATGAAATCAAAAATCTAAGAATAAATTTTGCTTCGTCAAATTCTTAAAACATTTGTTAGCTAGAATTAAAAATTAAGATATTTGTCTTTTTTCTGACTAAAAATTACTTTTTTGTTTTTTTTAAAAATATTTTTTAGGAGTTGAAGAATCTGAACGAATAATTCATTATAGTCCACATATGAAAATCGGTGCTCGTCTTCTGATAAATCCATGTATTACTCCTGGTATTCATCCTCGTTTATGGCAAGATGCTCGAGATATGTATTGGTCTATATCTGGTATATCTAAATCATCAAGTAACTCAGAAAGAAATAATTTAATATACATTCAAAGAACGCCAACAAATGCAATGAATGGTGCTCGTCTTATATTAAATGAAGAACCATTTATTAATATTCTACGTGATTATTGTTCAAAACATTCATTAAATTATGTGCAGTATGATCATTCAAAAGATAAAGATCATATTCGTTCTCGTATTGAACTTTTTTATAATGCTAAAGTAATAATTGGTGTTCATAGTGGTGCATTATCAAATATGAATTTTGCCCAATCAAAAACAACAATTATTGAAATAATGCCTTATAAATCTAGTTCAAGTTCACTTCCAATGACTTGTTCAATGTATCGAGTTGATGATCTTCGAGCATGTGCTGGTTATATTTTATATACTCAAGCACGATTATTAAATCAATCATATTGGATTTTACCAATTGTTGTAAATGATGAAGGAAATCTCAATGTTAATATAACTCGATTACAAAAACTTCTCGATCAAATTTAATAATTCTATTCTGGTTTTCTTATTCTCAGTTTTATTGTGATAATTATTTCTTGATATTTTATCAAATGATCATCGTTAAATTCAAACGCATGTAATAGATGCATTTTTTCATTGTGTTTTTTTTTTCTTTTGTTGAATCATTAAAAGAAAAATGTTTTGTGAAACTCATATGTATTTTCGAAGAAAATAGCAAGCGTAAGTTTTAGATTGAAGCTTTGCGGTTAGAGTCCATCGGGTCCAGGTCTAAAAATTTTGAGTCGATCGAAGTCAGATCCAGAAATTTCTGGATCGAATGGGCTCTTTCCACGAAAGATTAATCAATCGGGTTCGAATCCAAAAATTCTTGGACTCGATGGACTCTATTTGAGGCTCTTCTCTCCTCATTACAAACCTTAACCATTGAGGACAACAGATGTCAGATGCTTTTCCCAAAGTTCCTTAAAGATGACAAAAAAAAGCCCTGAATGGTATTAACGACAAAACTTTGACTATTCAAGAACATTCCCGAGTCTTACTCGGAATTTGAATAGCTGAAATACGTTTGTCAATGTTTTAAATAGTGCAGTTTTTGATTTTGCGCAAATAAAATCTTTTGTTCAAGATGTTCATGATGATCAGTAGCAATGCGTGGATTTGTCACAGTCGTCATATGATCAATATAGAACTTTGGAGAATAATCAATATCAGTGTTTCTGACCTATTTTCAGATATACAATAGTGCCTTGAGTAGAGAGCTGCGGGTCTGACTGGGTTCAAACTCGCGGTCTCTTATGTCGATACCTGGCACCCTTTGTATACATGAACAAGTAAAGAATTAAGGCTTTAACTATTTATTCGCTACTCTCAGAAAAAAAACTTAACGTACAGTTATATCTTGCTGCTGTATTTCTCATCTAAGGAGTAGTGAATCCACAAAAACGTGTAACCGAGCTCGACCAAAAACAAAAGGTTGGACCCGAACCCGCAGCTCCCTAGCCTTAAGATCTGCTCTTGATATAATGGATATGCACAACAGGCTTATTTACTAGTTGAATCAATGGTTAGAATAATAATAATAATAATGTTAAATTAAAAAAAACGAAATAAGAGAAAATAATGAGCGAATATCAACGTGAGAAACAAAACATAGAACGACAGTAAAAAAAGAAAAGATGAATTGTTCCTCTGGCAGTCGACTATTCTTGGAAAGTAACGATAGTCTGTTAGAGACTTTTCATTCAACGTTTTTTATATTAGTATAATGATGCTAAAGAATACATATGAGTTCCATATCTCAACCCCAAAGAGACTGCGCTAACAAGCTGTTTTTTTTCTAAATTCAACATTTTGTAGTCGTCTTTAAAATAAGTGTACATAATTAAGGGTCAGATCTTTAATCAAGTTACACTGTGCCGTATGATAGTTCTATAATTTGGATCAATGATCATAAGAAATAGCATGATGTGTTTTTTGTTTTAAATTAAGGTATGTCCTTGATAGTAATAGAGTTGCTCGACCAATAAGTAACATGATCTTGAACTCTTATTGTCGTGCTGCGATGGCCGAGTGGTTAAGGCGTCTGACTCGAAATCAGATGGGATTTCCCGCGTAGGTTCGAATCCTACTCGCAGCGTTCCCTTTTTTTTCCTTCTCATTTTACCACAATATGTTGCATAGTAGATATATGCTCGACAAAAAAAATCAATGCAAATGAGCTCGCTGAAATCGACTCAATGACGTGTCTCTCAAAACCAATATCGGTTACTACTTATCGATTATAAGAACCGTACATATAATACAATTCGATTCTATCAAAAATGTTTTCGTGAGAAAATCTCATTCTATAATTTTTTAATAAACAAATATAAATCGAACTTAAAAATAATTTTCTTTAAAAAATTTTAATGTTTTTCAAAAAAGAACAAACCACACTAAGGAAGCGTTCATCATATGTGAGATGTCGCCACTATTTAATTTAAATAAATATAAATTATATTATTATAATTAATTGTTTACAATAAATGACTGATATAAAAATCTAAAAATAAAATATTTTAAAAATAAAATCTGAAAATTTTCAATTGAAATATCTAATAGAGGTTTTTCTCAAGCGATACAAACGAACATGGTTATTGTCTCGACAAAATTTTATTAACACGTGCATCTAACTCTTTGTGAAACTAAATGGCAGCATCATCATCATTGATTGCAAGTATGGATGGTGGTGGTGGTGGTGGTGGTTTAAATGCTAGTGGAACAGGTGGTGTGGAAATTGCTAAAGCTTTATCTAGTATGCAAATACGTAATGAACAATTTCGTAATTTATATGAAGAACTTAAAAAAGAATATTCAACATTATCCAATGCATATGCTGATTGTCAACGAACATTAGAAAAATCTACTGAAGATAATCGTCAAATGCAAGAAAAATTTAAAAATTTACTTGATAAATTACAAATGGACAATCGAAAAAAACAAATACAAATTGAAGAAATGAAAACACAGGTTTTATTCATTTTTTTTTCTTCTTATTTCTACATTGTTTGAAAAAAAACCTCTTATTTAGTTACTTGACAATAGTAAAATTGATCAAATTCGTGATCGTTTATCTTCGGAAGTTGAAGGTCCATATAAATTAGCATTATCACAATTAGGCAATCAATTAGAACAAACAAAAGCTGAATTAACAAAAGTTCGTTTTGAATTAAATGCACGAATAAAAGAACATGCTTCAGAATTATCTCAACGAGATCAAATAGCAAATGAAATAGAATTAAAAACTGAAAAAGAATTAGGAGCATTAAGAAAAGAACGTGATCTTCTTCAACAACATATTCGTCAAGAAAATCAAAAAGATACAAATATTGAACAAAATCGTTCAAGAGAAATAACACAATTAAAAGCAAAAGTTGAACAATTTACTCAAGAATTAAATGAAGCAAGAGAAGTTAAACTTCATGCTGAACAAATAGCTGCAACTGCACAAAGAGAATTATTAAAAGAACGTTCTTTATCTAAAACAAATTTTTCTCTTGTTGAGGTAAAACAAAAAAAAACTTTCTTTATTAATTTTTTAAACAAATTAATTTGAATTTATTTATTCTTTTTTTTTTTTTTTTGAAAAATAGAATGAACGTGATTCATTAAAACAACAATTAACAACAATTCATCAAGAATTAACATCTATTAGTGAACAATTAACAACAGCTAATAGACAATTACATGAAAAAGATTTTCGAATTGCACAAATAAATACCGAATATGAAAATATTCAACATCAATTTAAAGTTGAAGTTGCTAATCATAAAATTGATTTAGCTAAAACACAAAGACAACATTTACAACAACAAGAACAATTAAAATTTCATATTCAAGGTTTGTCTTTTAAAATAAACAAATAGAATCAAACTTTCATCAATTCAATTTCTTTGCATTATAATGGTTTCTATTATTCAATCAGATAAATTTTCTTCCTTGTGTAAAAAAAAAAAGAATTCATGACGATGATAAAAGCTTCCACAAATAATCCCGTGAACTATTATATGCTACATTTTTTCAATTTCCGGAAAATCTATTTGAACTTTCACAACATTGCGAATGTAGTTTTCACTTGGAGAAATATAGGAGGAAATCGATTGCATGACTGGATGTATGACTTATGTCACAGTTCAATAAAAGAGATAGAGAATAACCTTTGAATGATTACTATTACTCGATTCAAAATAAAAGGTGAGTTGTCATTGTTTGAAGAACTTTCGATAGGAACAAGATAGAGATCTGCGGTTTTCAGCGTTCGAAAGAACAATGTTCGAGCTATCGATCTCTATAAAATTCATTAAGACGAAAGATATTTTTGGATCGACACTTTTTCTTGGCGTATTTTCACAATAATCTCAACTCAAATTATATGAAAATGTAGCTGAAATCACCCTTTTTTCACTATAAAATTATCATGTATTTCATTAATCCTCAATCTCTTATAACAACTACACTTGCCAAAAACAAGGGTGATTTGAACTACATTTTCGTATGATTTGAGTTGAAATTACTGTGAAAACCGTAGGTCTCTATCTTTTTCCTATCGAAAGTTATTTCAAAAAATGACAACTCATATTTTATTTTGAATCGGATAATAGTTCTTTTTTTTCTATGATCTAGATACTGATCGTGTACTGCATCTTTAAACTATGTCATCTAATATATGTAGTATAAATATGAAATCTAACTTACTATTTTCTAAAAACAAATCGGAAAAATTATTTGTCATATTACTTTTGGGCCACTCTGTATATGACCTTGAGTCTTATATTATGTTCAAATATAAAAAGTTTTTAGACGATCTAATATTGTGTCTCACTTTGACTTAAATAACCAGAGTTTCCTGAAAACTTAAACCACTTTGGAGGAAGTTTTTAAAGGCCAAAAGTTAAGTTGACCTCAGTCTTTAAGATGTTCAATTAAAAACCTGTGAAATCAAGTATATTTGAATATAAATATACTAACAAAAGATCTAATTGTTCTAGAAATTATTTAATTATATGTGTCATTCCTCCAACAGGAAGGAAAGGTAGTTTAAACTGTAGCTAATGCCAACAAAAGCTTACTAATCAATACCAACTCAGTGATTTGAAATGAAACTGTCATACATCGATTCGAGATTATTAAGAAAATCTTTACACGATATGAAAATTCGTTTGGATGACAAATAAACGAGTATTTGCTAATATTCATTAATATTTTGTCAAAAAACTTAAGAATTAATAGCTGAATAGAGCGAATATAAATGAGATACTGGAAGTGATTTAATCTTTCACCCACATGAACAAACATGTTTAGTGATTTCGCATATCTGACAAAGTCGAAGACGAAAAAAAAAAGAAGCGCTGAGAATTCTATTTTCTGCTTCAGAAAATTTCAACCCAATCGATATATATTCCTATTTGAAAAAAAGACATTTTTTATAATAAAAACTCTTTTTTAGAACTTGAAGAAAAAATTGCAGCTTTAACTTCTGATAAATCGAAATTAAAATTAAATATTCAAGAAAAAGAACATAATTTACTTACAAGTATTCAAGCAGCAAGAGAAGATGAATGGAAAAATATTAGTGAAATAACTAATGAAAAGTAAGATTTTATTTTCATCTCTTATATACTTTAGTTTTTTTTTCTAGACTTAATTTAGAAGCTGATTTAAATATCTTAAAAAAATCTAATAATGAGCGAGAAAAACAATATGATATTGAGCGTGATCGTTTATATGAACAAATAAGAAGTTTAGAAAAAACTCGTGATGAATTAACAAAAGAAAATACATATTTAAATACAAATATTAAACAAATGAAGGATTGTCAACATGAATTGGAACGTGAACAAGAAAAATCTCGAGAACTCTATAGAAAATGTGTTAAACTTGAAACTCTACTTTCTTCAACTAATGGAATTGAAGTACCTTTTTTTCTTTATTCATTTTATCTTATTTTCTATTTATTATTTTTGCAGCAAGAATTAACAGAAATAAATTTAAAATTAAAAAATGAATTAAATCAATTAATGAATGAACGTCATTCGAATAAACAAGAACTTCAACAGGTTATTTTATCTATTTTGATTGGATTCTAAAATAATGATTCTTGTTTTTTTTTGATTTAGATGAATAGTCAATGTACAACAACAATTGATAATGCTCGTCGAGCATTTTTTAATGAAAGAAAAGAAATGGAAATGAAAATTGAACAATTAGTTGAACAATTAAAAAAATATAAAACAAAAATGATTGAAGTAGAAAGAGAAAAAAAAGAACATCGATTAAGATATCGAAATGTTTCACAAAAATTAATTGAAAAAAGTCAATTAATTGAAGCAAAACTTAATGAAATTAAACAAAAAGAATTAAGTTTACAGTAAGAAATATTTTTTTCCTTTCATTTCTTATCAGAAGTTCTCTTGAAATGAAATAAGATTATGACAACTCAAGAGTCTATGTTATGATAACAATCATCTTCTTTCAGTTAATGTCACATATAATATAGAAATTTTCGAAAGATCGACTTCGTTCTCTGTCCATTTCAAATCAGCCACGCGAAAAAGAAAAACTCAATAAAATACTGTTCACTTTTGTATTTGTATTAGCTAATGAGAGAGCTATCCCATCTGAAACCCGCCGCTTGGGCTCATATTAGGTCAAGAAGGAGACCTCGGTGAGACTATCAAGAGTCGAAAAATTTTCGTTTCAATGAGCCTTTGATGCCTAGTTATGACTGGATTTACTGAATTTTCGATCCATTTTTGGGTACTACTCGAAAGACTAACTAACGGAGTTTCTATGCAAAATTTTGCTCACAGATACGTATATTGAATCTTAGGATATGATGAAAGTTTCAACTAAAAAGGATGTTCGTTCGTCAAGTTTTTGAATTTTTAAGTGAACTCGATTCTTGTGACATGTCTGCAACAAACAGACATTATTTTCCGCTGAAACTTTAAGGATATTCTAAGAGTCAATATACGGATCTATGGACAAAGTGTTGGATAGAAACTCCCTTATTTAATTTTTCGGGAATTACCTACAAAAGGAGTCGAAAATTCAAGAAATCGATTACAACTCGGTGCCAAAGGTTCATAGAGCTGAACCGTTGTACATTTTTGCTAATCTTTCTGAGACTTACTGAAGTCTGTTTAATTAAGCGAGATAAGATTATATTTTAAATATAAATCGTTTTCATACTTCACAGTTTAGAATGAAGTAATGATTTCTTCGTGTTATCTACAGACAGCGCTCATCAGATAGTTGAAGTTGGACAAGAAAACAGATGATCATATGATGGTTAATTCCAATAATTCTTTCCAGTGAAGACTCTATGAATCTTTTATTTATCACGAATGTTTATAAGACAATAAGAAGTGTTCTCTTTTTTTTATTATTCTTAGGTAAACTTGATATCTAAAAGCTTTTTACTCAGATTAAGAAATATGGGTAGTTTCCGACCGTAAAATCATAGATTCAAGCGTTTGGATTATTGACCTGAGTAATTCATTAGTCCACAAGAAATAAATATCTCCAGTTTTACTGCTCTATGATTACGCATCTTGTGTAACATCCAGAATAGAAGGTATAGCTATAAGAGAACATATGAATAGATATCTTATCACTACTAGATTTCGAGTTCTTTTTTTCTATTTCTTTTAGTACTTTAGTGACTAAAAAGGATTTGCGACAAATCGATCTCTGAAAAGAAAATAAGGAAAATCGTTTTGTTTCTGTCATATTGATATGTATCGTTTTGTTTATAGAAATGTTGTTAGTGTTCAAACACATAATCGTGTAAAACGACAATTATCTCAATTATTAAAAAAACATTCACAATTTCAAACACTTCTCGATACAAATAATATAAATCGACCATCGGTACAATCAGATGTAAATTAAAAGAAAATACTTTATTCAAATAAGATTCTTTATTGTTTTTTTTTATTTAATATTAGGATAAATATGATCTTAATTCTATGTTAACTCGTTTGGATCGTTTATCACATGAACAAAATCATCAATTAAATGATTTTATTCCAAGTAATTATTTTCTCTTCTTACTCGAAATATGATTTATTTAATTATTTATTTAGCGAAAGGAACTTCATTAACTCTTTCAAATCGCTTTGAACCAAATTTAACTCAAAGTGGAATATTATCTTCTTCACCAGATAAACGAAAAATAATTCGATTCGAAGAAGAAAATCAATAAACGAAGAATGTTATTCTTCATTAAATGAACTATTTATATTTCAATACAGATATGTTTTTTTTCGTTTTACTTTTCGATTCTATCGCCCAGTGTTATGGACATTTTAGATAGACTATCTTTATTATAAATATTTAAACAAGTTTATTATAACTGTGTTTATTTAGGTCAAATTGTTTTATTCGATTGGGCTTGTTTTTTTTTGTTTCTTTGTAAACATCTTCATAAACTTAATATCGATAA